CCTGCGTCCTCCTCGTGAGAGCAGATGTGGGCCTTCCAGCCGCGGTGGGAACACAGGCCCAGCCGCCCTTCTCCGCCCCGGCAGGCCAGCTCGCTGAGCCACACGGGCCCGGCACCCTCCCCAAAGAAGGCACCTCCTGGGGCGGCCAGCGCCCCCCCACAGCCCAGCTCCCGGCAGGCCACCGCGGCGTCCCGCAGGTCCCAGCCGTCGTCACACACCGTGCCCCAGCGTCCCGCGTGCCACACCTCCAGCCGGCCGGCACACTCATGAGGGCCATCGGCCAGGCGCAGCCGCTCTGGGGACGGAGGGGAGGCTCTGACCCCGGGGAGGGGCACCCACGGTCCTGGGGCAGCATGAGGGCAGGGGCTGCAGGGGGACGATGGGGAGGCCACCTGGCCACTGGGCGCTGTGGACAGGGGCGGGGCGAGGTCGGACACCTGGGCCCCTGAAGGTCAGACGGGGCCAGGGCAGCTGGGGGCTCGGAGAGGCCAGATGGCAGGAGTGTTCGGAAACTTACCCACAGCCTGGATCCCCAGCAGAGCGGCTGCAAGGGGGTTTGACGGGGTGGGACAGAGTGAGGGGCAGGTCCTACCCGAGGGGGCTCCTTTCTGCATTGCAGGACCTTGTTGGGGCCACCCCCAACACACCACACACACACACACACACACACACACACACACACCCCTTGGACCTGGAACCCCGCTGCAGAGAGCGGGCAGCAGTCAGGTCTTGGCAGCAGAAGCCAGGGCTGGGGACCAGGTCCTTTGTGTCCCGCTAGGGGGTGAGCTGAGGGTCACATGGCTAGGTGGTCCCCACCCCAGGGTCAGGGGCCGGCCCCCTTGGGTCCCCAGGAGGGAGACACTGAGCAGCCCAAAGAACGCTGGCTCTCGAGGGACGGAGCAGGGACTGGGGTCGCGCACTGTGATGGCAAAGGGGTCAGAGGCGGGACGCAGCAGCCCTGGGTCCCGGAGGACGGGTCACTCACCGAGGAGGCAGGCCAGGACCCTCATGTTTGCAGAGGCTGGGGCAGGGACGGGGTGGAGGGGAAGGGAGGGGAGGGGGCGGCGGCCACAAGAGGAAGTGTCTGTGGCGGCACCCTGGGCCCGGGAGGAGCAGGCAGGGGCTGGCCACTCTTCCCAAGGAACTGGGAGAGGCTGAGAGGCAGCACTGGGGACAGCGGGAGGGCAGGGAGGGGGCTGGTCGGCGGCCGGGCTGTGGGAGGAGGCGGGTGGCGGCGGGCGGGAGGAAGGGAGGGTGTCCAAGCTGCAAACACCCACACGGAAGGAGCAGGCTGGGCTCTGGCTCCACGGGACTCTGGGTTAGGGACGGGGCAGCAGGCTGCAGGCAGGGCACTGTGGCGGTGGATGCGAGGTGCTGGCACAGGCAGGGAGCCCCCTCCTGCCTCTTCCCTGACAGCCTGGGAAAGATGGAGGTTGGGCTGGGTCCATGTGGGGCTGGGTGCAGCGAGAGGGCTTGCGGCCAGACACCAAGAAGGACTTCCTGAATTAGGAGAGTCTCACCAAGTTCCCTCCTCCCTGCCCCCAACTCCCGGTAGGTCTGAAGGCAAAGTCCCCACTCCTACGCCTGGGGTGGGGGAGTGGTTGAACTTAGGTGGCCCCAATGGGTGACAAACGGGAAGTGGGGGAGACCTCTGTCTTGGTTTGGGTGGGGGGAGTGAGAACTCCACACACACACACACACACACTCGACACAAACACAGAGTCACTCTCTCTCTCTCTCTCCCTCTCTCTCTCTGCACCAGGCAGCTGTGAGGTGGAAAAAATTCGGTAATGGGGCTCGTGAGTCAGAAGGCCTGGCAAGGACAGGACCGCCGTGAGCTCATCGCCGCCCCTTCTCCTGGTCCGGCCGCCCCCCCCCCTCCAACAATCCTGTCAACTTGGGGAAGGAGGAGCCAGACAGAAGACGGGGTCTGGGGACTGACTGGCGAAGGCATCAGAGCCGGAGGCACAGCAGCTTCAGGCTTTATTAAGAAACCAGCGTGAAAACCAGATGGGCCGGGAGGGAGCTGGGGGGCCGTGCGCACCCGCCCACCCGCCAGCCCGCCCGCCGCTCTCAGCGCGGACCTTCCCAGACGGCTGACCCGGCAGCCCTGCCCGCCCCTCCCCCGCCCCCACGGGGCTCCCCGCATGCACACAGCCCCACCCCCCGCCGGGCCAGCCACCCACTCCGCACCGTCGCCTGCAGCCACAGGCACCAACCCCCCGCCCCCCGTGCTGGGGAGCCCTCAAGGACGCCCCTGCCGCTAAGCCTCAGTCTTGGCGGGCACCCTGGCTCAGCCGCCCCGCTCAGTGTCTCTCCCAGGCCTGTAGCCCAGATGGGGTGGGGAGACTTCTGAGTGCAGACTGGCTCTGAGGCTGAAGGGGGGACGGGCTGGCCTTTGGGGGCCCAGAGAGCGAGCCAGGCGGGCGGGGAGCGAGGAACTGCACTCTCGGAGGGGCGTGCACCGCCCCCAGCAGGCGGCCCTGCGCCCAGGAGGCACTTAGCTGCCGGGCGGGCAGGTCACAGGTCCTTGCTGAACTCCCGCACTAGTGGGTAACCCATGCAGCCCCAGCCGCCCTCAGCCTGGTACCCACAGCCCTCCAGCATCCCCGCCACCCCCCAGGCGGCCACGGCCACCGGGACTACAAGCCGGGCCCGCGGCTCGCCCATGCCCCCTGCCCAGGCGCGGGCCCGGGCCTCGGCGAAGGCCAGCAGCCTCCTGCCCACGCCGCGGCGGCGGTGCCAGCGAGAAACGGAGAGGCGGGTGACCCGGGCCCCATCCCCTGCGTTTGTGCCGGGCGCCAGGGCCAGGACGCCACACACGTCACCCGAGCCGCGCACGGCCACCCAGGGCCCCCCCAGGCCACCCGGGGGAGGCAGCGAGCCCCACCGGGCCCTGAGGCCCAGCTTCACGGCAGCCACGGCCAGGAACACGGGCAGGAGGAGGGCCAGTGCGAAGGAGGCCAGCACGAACCGCAGGCCGCTGCTGGCCGCTGCCAGGAGGAGCAGAGCAGGGGGCCGCGTCAGCGCGTGCAGGGCCACGCGGTTCTCCGTGTCCTTCACGCCGGCCTGTGGGCAAGAAGGGGAGCAGTCAGGGGCAGGGCCTCCTCCCTCTGCCAGCCAGGACCTTTGTGGGCAGCAGGGACTAGGAGAGGGGAGCCAGCCCTGCCTGGAGCCAGGAGCTCAAAAAGCACCGGGCGCGACAGAATGATAGGGGCCTGTGGGGGAGGACACGAGGGGCAGGGACCTCACGGGCCGCCATGGCCAGTGAGCGGAGTCTGGCATGCTGGCATGCTGGGCGTTGGGTGGGTGAGGGAACACAGGCAATGAGGGAAGAAATGAATAAGTAAATGAATGAATGAAAGAATTAATGCACAAATCAATGAGTGAATGAACAAGTGAGTGGATTAATGCATGAACTAGTGAATGAACAAATGAGTGAATGAATGAATGAGTGGATGCAGAGTGAAGGAATGCATGGATCAGTGAGTGAGTGAATGAATGAACAAGTGAATGAACAAATTCATGGATCAGTGAATGAACAAATGAGTGAATGAATGAGTGGATGCACAGTGAAGGAATGCATGGATCAGTGAGTGAGTGAACAAATGAGTCAGTGAATGAATGAGTGGATGCAGAATGAAGGAATGCATGAATCAGTGAGTGAAGGAACAAATGAGTGAACAAATGCATGAATCAGTAACTGAAAAAATGAGTGAATGAATGAATGAGTGGATGCAGAATGAAGGAATGCATGAATCAGTGAGTGAGTGAATGAATGAACAAGTGAGTGAACAAATGCATGAATCAGTGAAGGAACAAATGAGTCAGTGAACAAATGAATGAGTGGATGCACAGTGAAGGAATGCATGGATCAGTGAATGAAGGAACAAATGAGTGAACAAATGCATGAATCAGTAACTGAAAAAATGAGTGACTGAATGAATAAGTGAATGAATGAGTGGATGCAGAAAGAAGGAATGCATGAATCAGTGAGTGAGTGAATGAATGAACAAGTGAGTGAAAAAATGCATGAATCAGTGAAGGAACAAATGAGTCAGTGAACAAATGAATGAGTGGACGCAGAGTGAAGGAATGCGTGGATCAGTGAGTGAATGAATGAACAAGTGAATAAACAAATGCATGGATCGGTGAATGAATAAATGAGTCAGTGAATGAATGAATGAGTGGATGCACAGTGAAGGAATGCATGAATCAGTGAGTGAGTGAATGGAGGACAAGTGAGTGAACAAATGCATGGGTCAGTGAATGAACAAATGAGTCAGTGAACGAATGAATGAGTGGATGCACAGTGAAGGAATGCATGGATCAGTCAGTGAATGGAGGACAAGAGAGTGAACAAATGCATGGATCAGGGAGTGAATGAGTGAGTGAATGTGAGAAAACCAACGTGAGAGTATATAGTGGATGAATGCATGAGCTAGTGCAAGAATGAGGAGTGCTTGTGATGAATGAGTGGGACCGGACGAATGAATGCACGACCAGTGAACGCATGGATGCCGGAGTGAGTGAATGAATGATCCAATGAATTAATGAGTGAACAACGCAATGAACGAATGCGTGACTTCGGCACCATGGCAGCCCCTACTGAGCAGAGGACCACGGTTCCAGGAAGTACCCCTGGAAGGGAGAGAGGATGGGGGTGGGGACCACAGCCCGGGCAGAAGGCCCACAACTGCCCCCGGCCCCAGGGCGCAGGCCCGGAGTGCGGGCCGTGGCGCGGCGCTGTGCGCTCCGGGCTCCCTGGGGGTGATGGACGTGGAGACCCGGAGGAGGCAGCGCAGGGTCCAGCCCCACAGCCGCTTGGTCCGCTGGTGGCTGGGCCTCGGGCGGGGGAGAAGGCACCGGAGAGAGAAGGGGTCCGGTCGCGAAGTAACCGCGGAGGAGGAGCCCCCGTCCTCCTCCACGGGCCGCAGGGCGCGGGCGGCGGGGCGCGGGCGGCGCCCCCCCCCCCCCCCCCGCGCGCGCCGCGGCGGCCCCCGGGGCGGGGGGGGGGGGGGGGGGGCGCCCCCGGGGGCCCCCCGCCCCCCCCGCGGGCGCGCGCCCCCCCGCGGGCGGCGGGGCGCGGGCGGCGGGACCCCGTCCCCACGGCGCGCCGCGGCCTCTCACCTTGAGCATCTCCAGCACCATTGGCCTCTCGTCCTCCCGCATCTCCCGCACCGACAGGTGGCCGGGGGCCATGGCCGCCCCGGGCCGGGCCCCGCGCCCCCGAGCGAGCAGGCGTGCACCTGCGGAGCAGGGCGGTGAGCCGCAGCGCGCGCCCCTCTCCACGCCCCGCTCACCGCCGAGCGCCCGCCTCCGGGGCAGGGACCCACCCCCTAGAACCGGGCCCAGACCTCGAGCCCCCGGGACTCGGCCACCTGCCCGAAGACGCCCTGCGGACACCCACACCTCGCACCCCGGGGCGCCCGCCCGTGTGCCGGGGCCGTCCCGAGAGCCCAGCCGGGGACTGCACCACGCGGCCCGGACAGCGCCGGGGTCGCGGCGCAGGACGAGCACCTGCCAAGCGCCTCCGCGGGGTCGCTGCGATCCTTTGACAGGCTCGGCGGGGGGAGCAGGGTCGGCGAAGGGTCGCCGGCGGAAGTGACGTAAACTCACGCAGCGGGGGGGGTGAATAGTGGGCGGTGCCTGGTTCGGCCTTAGCAACGGTTGCCAGGCGCCCGGGACGGCGCGGTGCGGGAGTCCCGGGTGGCGGGACAGGGTCCGGGCGCGGTGATCCTGCCCGGGGTGGGAAGGTGGCGGGAGTCACTGGTCCCCAGAGGAGCCGCTGGAAGACGGGCCTGGAGCTGGCAGGGTCGGGGATGGGGTGGGGACGGGCAGCGCGGCTCAGCCGGTCCCGGGGGGCGAGCGCACGCCCACTTTGCGACGTCTCGTAGTTGCTAGGCAACCTGAGCGCGGTGTGTGCAGGAGGGAGATGGGGGGACAGCTCCACTCGTTTTGGCCTTGGGGGGCGCTAGGGCCTTCGCAGGAGGGCTTAGGATAACGGTCAGCATCAACCGCGTGCTCGCTGGCCCTTCCCAAGCCCAGCGCCTGGGTGTCCGGCTGGCGGTCCCTTCCAACAACCCAACCCAACCCAACCCACTGCCGTCTAGCGGATTCCCAGCGACGCCCACTGCGTTTCCCTGGCAGTGAGTCTCCGGGGATGTACACTTCCCGGCCTTCCTTCCCAGGAACGGCTGCAGGCTAGAACCGCCCACCTTCCCCACCGCAGTCAGACGCCTTAGGCACCTCGCCCGGGAACTCCCACCCGCCGATGCCTCGGCTCCGGGCAGGGGCGGAGTCACACAGCCACACAGCACGATTCTGGCTCCGCTGCGCTCCCCACGCGTCCCGTCGGGGTCGGGGAGTGAGCCCTGCGTGGCAGGGACTGCCCCAACGGCCAGGGCCGCCCCCCGCAGCCCCGGAAGCGAGATGCAGCGGGGGTTGCAGGCTGCCGCCAGGCCCGCCCGCCGCCCCTGTCTGCTCCCGCCCGCCCCGAGGAAAGCAGAGCCGAGGAGGTTCTGGGTCTTTATTAGCGAACCCACCCTGCAGCCCCGCCGAGGCACGGGCGGGGGTCTCGCTCTGGGGCAGGAAGAGGTGCCAGTCGGTGTCCTCAAAACGTGTGCACGAGCTGGACCGCGGGCAGGGCCTGCACTATCTGGATGGAGGGCAGGCCTTGCTGGGC